ACCATCTTGACAGGCTTACAGAAGCTTGACAGATATGTCAGATGCGGCATCAGATAAGCGATGATTTGTTGGGCGTGTTTTACGCGTTCTCGGGTTCCAAGACACGCCCTGCGCCTTCGTCGGAACGCTCCTCGGCCAATTCCGACCTCGTTCCTCCAGCCTCCTTTGAACGCTTTCATCGCGACTGATCCGCGGCATACATACAATACATCGAGGGACCGCAGGCTTCCTCTTTGGCGATAATTCCGTCAGATCTGAGTAACATGTATACCTCATCATGCTTTCAGATCGACACGGTACCCTGCATGAGGACGTCTGTAGACCCTCAGGTACTGATTAGCGCAGCCACGTATTCGGCAACTTGCTTTTCAGATCATCGCAGTACATGTGTATACGTACTTCTGGAGACCCTCAGGTACTTTTCAGGTCACAAAGTAATCACGAAGATGACGCGTGCAGAACTTCAACAAGCTATCACGGAGTTGGACGCAGTCTGAGTACACATTCTTCTCGCTAACATCATCGTTTCAGGGTCTACTTCAGATTCAACACCAGATGTATAATTCCAAAGTCTGTCTCAAAAGGTCTAGGGGTATTCGCCAATTTCCTAAACGCCTTGCTAAATCGATTCCGAACATAAATCGCCTGTCACAAAACAAGACCCCAGAAAGCAAATATTTAGTATGTGTTAGGAAGATCCTCTATCTTAAGCCGCTCCAGCGCCGGGAGAGCCGCCACCAGGTGAGCTAGCTGGACCCTTGCCCTTACCGAAAGAGGGTGACGTTGGTGACTGCGGAGATCCTTGACCTCGTCCGGAGCCAGCTGAGCCGCGACCTCGAGGAGTATTGGACCCACGACCAGCTGATCCACGGCCAGATCCTGGCTGACCACTAGAGCTGGGACCTCGAGGAGTAGAGGGGCTGCCACGACCGCGACCGCCGGAGGGAGGAGAAGTAGCTAGGTTTTCACGTGTGCCTTAGAAGTATTAGCTCGGTCTCAAGAGAGATGTGACGAGGTCGCTACTTACTCCTCGAGGGAGTCGAAGGAGGCTGTTCGGCGCGGTCGAAGACCGAATCTCCTGCGAACTCGTACTCCTCTTCGGCGTCTATAATATGTCAGTGTCCAAATTCTCTCTCGTCAACGTGTATTTCACTAACCTTCACCCAGATCCTCTCCAGGCAAGCGATCGCCCCTCACAAGAGAAGCATGTTCCTCCATCTGGATTTCCCAGTACTGGTGCTCAAACGCGCCGAACTTGGGACGACCAGGTTGCGTGTACTGGAACTTGACTCGGCGACCAGTAGGGGGGTCGAATACGCGGTAGCCTGAGTCGTAGAACTGGAGAGCATCTCCCATGTTGCAGCGTACATAGTCCTTGCCTTGGAGTATAATGAAGCTTCTCGCGTTCTTGTCGCTGCCAGCTACCCAGGTTGCCTTGCCGAGGGAGGAGCCGTCACCACCGTCGTTTGCGCCTTGAGGTAGGGCAGTAGGTCCGTACTGAGGCGGGTTGGACATGTCGGCTTGGAAGTGTAGTGTGGGAGTTGCGTTGAAGGTTTCAAAGGTGTATGTAGTAGTCGACTCGAAGGTATAGTAAGGAAGAGATATTCGAGGTCTGAAAGAGGTATATAGTAGTCGAAGTGTACTGTATATATCGAAGGATTATTGATCAAGGAAAGAGTCAAGGAGGTACTAGATCAGCGGTTTATATGGACACCCCAGATCCGAAGACAGGAGCCCAAGACCGTTTGCTTCAGGCGTCAGGTGCATTATGGCGCCATTCTTCTCGTCTCTCACTTAGCAAGAGTACCTCAATGAAAGGTCTGAAGGCGCGGTAAGAGAGCGCTGCAAACAGCCTTCACTTGGAGAAGGGGCGGTAACGGAAAGAAATACTCAGCGGATGAGCAGGCGGTGCAGGAGCGGAGAGGTATCAGGAAAGTGGCGGTGGTGGTGCGCCCCTGACATGATCTCGACACCGCCTATGTGGAAGATATGGAGCGAAGGGAGTGAGCTGATGTGTTATGAGAGCCTCCGGCGCGACTTCATATACAGATTTCCGCGCTTGCTTCCGGTGGGCGCATGGCTTGAGCAAGCAGTTTCCTCCATGTCGCGCCTATGGCAATCTTCTTGAGCAAGCTCCACGATGTCCTCAGTTCCACATTGCTACGCAAACGATGGGAATATGGTCTATCACACGAGCATTTCATCGTAAAGCAACTCAGCGTCGGATGACTCGGTAGAAAGCCATCGATTTGGGGTATAGGGCATTACGGTTACATTACATGATGCCACATAGCATTGAGACTCATTCAACGTACTAGAGCTCGACCTTTCCTACTCAGAAAACAGACTCTCAAGAATCATGCCATATGCCTCCGCCGCCTGCACAAGTTCATCTTGACTCAACATCTCATCAGGCGTATGCGCGACCTCGATTGTACCAGTACCAAACAAGTACTTCTTCTCCACTTGCGGCAAGCTGGGAATGTCCGTTCCAAAGAACACAGGCGCAATCTCCAGTCCCTCAACGTCAGTGTCGAGGATGACCGCGGGGTACCTAGCATTCGAGAAAACTACCTCAAAAGTAGCATTTTCCTCCTTTGCACGCGTCTCGAACGGTGACAGCATTCCGGCAATCATATCTTGCACAAGGTCGACTGCGTCGTCTTCGCTGCGAGCTATACGTACGGCGATACTCGCGTTAGCATGGTCGGGAACGACATTGCTAGCGACTCCACCCGCGACAAGTCCAGCGTTGAGAGTTGTTGCGCCTAGTAGCTCACTTCTCGGCAGAGCCGGTTCGAGCATGTTCAGTCCAACAATGGCTTCGGCAAGATAATTGATGGCGCTCACACCGAGCCAGGGATATGCGGAGTGAGAAGAACGGCCTGTGATATCCAAGCTCACACCCAGGTATCCTTTGTGTCCGCTAGCTAGCTTGCCTTCCGTTGGTTCGCCGAAAATACCTGCGCGGAAGGTGGTGTTGGATGCGTACTCGGCGAAGGCTCTCATTCCCGCACCGCCAGTCTCTTCAGCGACAACGAAAAGCATTCCTAGGCTGGGCGTGTCGGTTCTGGATTGGAAGAGCTTGTGGGATGCGATTATCATGGTTGCTACGGGGCCCTTTGCATCGACCGAGCCACGACCGAAGTGATAGACTGTGCCGTTCTCTTCCTTGCGCTCGAATGGGTAGAATGGTGGCACCTGATTTTGTGTCAGACGCTGTTGTTGGAGCAGTTCTCGGGTCGAATATGCTTACAGTGTCGATATGACTAGTGATCAGAACTTCCGGCCAAACTCCCTGATCTTTAAGCTCTTGGGGATAAGCGAAGACGTTAAAAGTACCAGTATCTCCAGCGGGGATTTCTTCGACGTAGTACCCCAGGTCCGAGAGATATTTTGAAATAAACTCCGCGCATTCAACTTCATCCCCAGAGATAGAGGGGATATTGACTAGCTCTTCATGAAGACTGTATAGATCTTCCGTCTCCTCAGTGGTAAGAGTCGCTGAACTCGATGCGGATGGACTGGGAGAGTTCACAGTCGATGGTGACACTGAAGCTTGCGGTGCTGCTATGGTCAACCCTAAGGATGCCAGAGCTGCCAGAGTTTTGATGACGACCATCTTGGCGTTTGGTATGAGTGCTGGCACTTCGAGTATGTTTCTACTACTTGTGAGTCAAGGGCATACCCCATTCTTATACCTTCAGCACAGCCTTGAGACCTCGGAAGTTGAAATCCAATCCACAAAGACGCAATTCGCCTTAGTCAGGACCTACACTAGATAAACGCTCGAGACGACAGGGTTTAACGCAAGGTATGGATACTTGAAGGTTGGCGTACGTCGTTCGGCATTGAAGTTTCTCACTTCGAGGTTTGCGGAACGTTCTATCCTGGCGTGGCCAAGAAGCCATATCTCCTAGAGATACAGTGAAGACGTTTTACTGGAGTGTCGACGGACTACAAGCACAAGCCAAGGACATCGTTGCAAACTAACGCATCTAGCTTGATATGATGGAAGAAGATAGCTGGTTTACGTAACCCTTGCCGCATTCTATTGTTCACGATAGCTTCTTCTTCCGTAGTTTGGAGAAGAACGGGATGATGTCAACCGCGACAACGGCCGCAAACGCGGGGTGCGGAGCTGTTATCGAGCGCAGGGCTCTGATAAGCGGTATCTTAGCGCCATGGCAGCATAAGAAGCGTCTTGGTAGTTTCCCCGGCCTGTTATTTCGGATGTTTGTAAGGCGAGTGTTGTAAAAGCGGTACAAGTATCGGACGTGGGCGCATCAAACAGTGGATGAGCGCAACAGGGTTCCAAGCGCTGTCAGATATGTAGATGAGTCGATCCTTCGCTAACCCCGTGTATCTGTTTTATCCAATTTTCGAAAAAGGAAGTATACAGTAGCTGCACCGTGCACTCGCATGGGAAGGAACGGTATCGTGATGATGCCATCGCCGTTAATGGTAGCTATCGCTTTGCACAAGGCACCAGAACGTGGCTGAGGACACCGAAGTAGAAGGTATCGAAGCAAAATAAAGCGCTAGTAAGTAGAGGGAAATATGAAGAGACGGGAAACAAGGAATAATCGACATGTTGAAGAGGTGGTGGTAGCTGCCATGATTGGGCCGACACGCGTTCGCGACGTGAGTTCGATGGGGAAGTCGCGACCGCAACTACCGCCAACAACAATGGGAACCCACGTATAGCTAGTCAGTGTGAGAGTCTAATGTCCCTGATCATGATCCCTAGCACCGCGATTAGACTCTCTTTGCAGCAGCTGACGTTCGGGAGCTCACACACAAAGGACCGAAAGTGGATAGCGCGCCGCCCTTGACCGCCGACTGACGACTGACGTACATCGGATGGATCATCAGCCTGAGCCACTCCACATCTCCGCCCGCGTATCCGTGAGGCTTGAGCTTTCGCTACCTGTAGGTCCTGGTCCTGCATCTCTCACCTAAACACCTACACCCAAAGAAGACGCCCAACGACTGCAATCATGTTCGGCTTCGTCGCCGACGGTTTGACGTAAGTATTACCCCGCCCCCGCCTGCAGCTGCCAATTCTCCAACAAACTTTGGGGCCTGACGAAGTATCGTGAGCTCGCCGCTTGCTTTCTTGGAGCTCGCATGACTGCGATATGCAGCATTTTCTTTTTGCTGCGACGTATTCGCAGAGAACCTAGCTAATACGGCGATAGCGTTGCAACCACCGTCTTCTTCCCTATCTTCGCCTCCTACAAAGCTCTTCACACCTCGGATCCAGCCCTCCTCGCACCCTGGCTGATCTACTTCGTCGTCCTCTCTGCCTTCACCGCCGTAGAGAACACCTTCGACTTCATCCTCAGCTGGGTGCCCTTCTACTCATGGATTCGCTTCTTCGCACATCTTTACTTGATCCTGCCTGGTTCGCAGGGCGCAAACTACCTGTACCAGGAGTACATGGAGCCTTTCCTTTACCACCATGAGCGAGAGATCGACGAGTTTATTACACAAAGCCATGACCGTGCCAAATCGGCAGGTATGGCATACGTCGAGATGGGCATCGAGTGGGTCAAGGTCAACGTTCTGGGCTTCGCACCTGGAAAGCCGCAGTCACCAAGACCCGAAGGGCAGACGTACGCACAAAACCTTATGAGCAGGTTCCAGATGCCTTCGGCAAGGGGCAGCAACGATCTATACGGACTCGTCAACCAAGCACTCAGCGGAGCCAGCGCACTTTACGGTGCCGGTAGCGCAGGCACTCGAGATGCGCAAGCCTCAGATCTGAGCCGCGGCGCCGGTAACCTCGTCCCAGACTCCATCCGCAACAACAACGACCGACTCGACTACGTTGCGTCGCAACGCCAGCGCCTCGAGACCCTCCTGCAAGCATTCGACCGCGAACAAGAAAACATCCGCACACAACAAACAGGCGGAAGCAGATACCATGAAGTCAACAGGAGTACTGGAAGCCTCTCTGGTAGCCTCTCCCGTAACAGGAGCGAAGCGGAATTCGACAGGATCGAGCGCGACGAACTGAGCTCGGGCTCCGACCGACCACCGTACCCCCTCACACCACCCGCACTCGGTCGAAGGACAAGCAGTGGCTGGATGCCGTGGAATTGGCAGCGTCAGGAACTCCCACGAGATGACCCGTTGGCTTACGGTAGGGAGCCAAGTGATGTGAGGAACAGATCCAGGGCCTCTGGTTTCGATCTGGGCGACCGCTAGAAGAATCCCTGGAGGACAAAATCGGGGATATGATGGGGATATTTCACGGCGTTTGGGCAACATGGTAGATGGTATTCTGCTAGGCTTCACAGGTACACTGAAGCTGTGTATATTTGGTATCCCAATTCATGAGTACGAGTAGGACTAGTCGTCCTGGTGATGTTACAACGTATGCGTACAACCACGGTTGGCTTGCGTGAGGTTCTATGCCTGGTTTCCCTGAGATTGGGTCTATTCCCTTCTAGCTATATGATTCCCGGCATGACTCAAGCCCACTTACAACTTCACCTCCTTGTACGGATACTTGGCGGTATCGTCCTTCCTCAGCACAATCTTCCTCTTCTTCTTCGTACTCGCGTGCTCCACCCACACCTCCTTCGTCATCTTATTCGTAAAATCCCGAATGAAGCGCGGATCCCAGAGTTCAGACGCGATACCCAGGTCTTTGCAACATCGCATCAGGGCGTTCGATTTGCAGCCTTCGGTCGCAGTGGGAATGCCGTCGGGGTCGAAGTATTGTTGCTCGCCACGGGCGATGGAGACAAGTCTAAGTCATTTATTAGTGATGATTCAGAAGGATAGCGAATGGGGCGAAGAGCAACATAGCGAATGGGGCGAAGAGCAACATACCGTCCCTGCACAATAAGTCCATACTCCCTCGTCACCAACTTGCCCGTAACAATACTCTCGCCTCTCGGCGCAAGACCCCACCCTCCAGGTCCGAACGCCTTGTTCAATATCCGCCTGTACTTGATCTCAGGTAAGTATATGATACCATCAGGCTTCACCTCCACGTCGTCCTGCGTGATAGGCGCGAGTAGCAATTCTCCTTGTTCGGGTGTAAACGATACGGAGCCGAGACCATGGTACGAGCGTGTCCAGTCTATCGCTGGTACGCCTTCCAGCTCGGGCGGGGCATCGGAGAGTCCGTCGGTGAGGGAGCGTTGTTTGCGGGCTGCGGAAGCTGCGCTGTCTGCAGTGGCATTGCGTGTTGTTGGTATGGGCGGTTCTTTAGCGACAAATTGGGGTTGTACTGTCCGCTGTGGGGTCGCTGTGGTCGCGGGTTTTGCCGCTGTTGACGCTGTAGTTGCTGGCTTGGCAGCTGTGGAGGTACTGGTTGTGCTTGTCGTGCTCGTCGCTGCTGGCCTGGGTGCAGTCGCGTATGCGGCGAAGATGCGGGACGAGGTGAAGCCCCGCTGCTGTATCCGATTGGCGATTGTTCTTGATGACGAAGCGGAGAGCAGGGCGGAGACGCCTCTGCGTGCTGGTGTCGCTGCCATTGTATTTGTGCAAGGATGGGCGGGGTTGATTTGTTGCCCTTGGGACGCAAACGCCTCAACGCGAAGTCACGATCTGATAGCCGCACGGGCCATGTCTGCGTACACGATGGCGGAGTATTGCTGTTTGCCGATTTCACCGACTATGCTCATAGGCGAATCATCATCATTCGCATTAGCATTGCACATGTTCAGGTGACGACTGCTTCTGGGCGTCGCGTTTTCCTTTGGTCGCTTTCGTTTGGTCGTTTTCGTTTAGTCCTTTCCGCATAAGTTTGGCTGTTTACGTTCGGGTTTGTGCATTCCCGAGGTCGTGTGGTGAGATATGACGACAACGTCGCTGCTACTAACATTGCTTGCAACTCGGCTCCGATAGTGACATGCAAAATCTGCAGTTTGGGGATAGTTATTTACCAGATGTACAGATCTGCCAGGAAGCTTGTCCGAATGCGCATGCGAGAGCGATTCGAATGTCCGGAAGAGTATCCATGCTGATCACCCGGTTTCCCCACAGCATCGTATGCAACGTATAAACTCAATTCTCCGAGCGATCGGCCGGTGAGCATTACACGGACGAAAATGTCCTATCGGAATCTGCCACACTCTGAAACATATTTGGCAGGCTTCACATGTCATATTACGCCCTGATGTACGAAACCAGGCTGTGCTCAACCCGCACAGCCATCTGCCAGACCTGATTGCCGACCCTCCGAGGGAGTGGGTTCTGGACGAGCTTAATGATCCTCATTAGCCGGACGGTGAGCGTGGGAAATATCCTCCCCATGGATGGTCGACTCGCGTCAAATGCCTCATTAGGTGCGACATTTGGGCTACTCCAGCCGATCACTTGACACTGGGTGCCTGGCTACTGGCTACCGACGTCAACGGTACTAGGCGAGCTGGCTGCGTCCCGTCTCGGCATGGCACCTACTCCGTTTCTTTTAGTGCGACGAATGTAGTGCTTGTACTCGTCTGTACTTAAAGCTTGCGCGTGCCCTGCATCAAGATCATTATATGGTGGCAGGACTCCAAGCGTCATGTCTCCAACATCAACAAACGGTTCTTCGGGAATCACGAAAATCTTCAACATGGCCTCGATACCGCACATCGTTGGTTATCTGATCGGTTTTGTAAGTACTGCTTAATTCGCGGAAGCTCGTCAGAAAAATAGCTGCTAACTTCGCATAGCTGGTCCTCCGCTTCATTGCTAGAGCCATCTACCGCATATACTTCCATCCCCTCCGACACTTTCCTGGACCGAAACTCTACGCTGCGACGCGCATCCCATATAACTTTGCTATCTGGCAAGGCACACGAGATAAACTCTTCCAAGACTTACACCAAAAGTATGGGCATGTCGTTCGTGTCAACCACGATGAACTGAGTTTCACGGATCCAAATTCTTGGAAAGATGTAAGTTTCGCATACTTTGATACAGATATACTTGAACGCCCCCTCGACGTTCCAGGTTCGAGTTGGAACCTCCCGCTACCTTCTTAGGTGCCCGAAAAAGCAAATGTAATCTTCGCCACCGACTAACCACCTTCCAGATCTACGGCCATGGTTCCAAAGGCACGGCAGGACATGTTCCTCAAAAAGCCTGGATGAGGTATGGCACAACACCCAATCGGGAACTCAGCCTCATCATCGCCCCCGACCCAGACCACAGTCGCCAACGCAAGATCTTCACGCCCGCATTCTCCGACCGAGCCTTGAAACAACAAGAGCCCCTCTTCGTCAAGTACGTCGACAAACTTGTATCTTCCATGAAAAGCACCATCGAAAAGGATCCAACCGCGAAGTTCGACATGGTCAGGATGTACAACTTCACCACCTTCGACATCATGGGCGACTTGACTTTCGGAGAGCCACTGCACATGCTCGACAACGCCGAATACGACCCCTGGGTTCGTATCATCTTTGCCAGTCTCAAGATGGGATCTCACTTCACCGTCATGATGTCATATCCATGGCTATGGCGTGCGTTCAAGAGATACGTACCCGAGTCTGTAAATCGGAAGCGGATGGACCACTTCAACCACTCTGTAACGCGCGTGACAAAGCGCCTTGAGAAAGGCCGCGATTCCGAGGGGGTCGATCTATGGGATCTGGTGCTAGGCCAAAAGGAAGGCCGAGGCCTGACCCGAGGCGAGATGGACGCAAATGCTTCCCTCTTTATGATCGCCGGAACGGAAACAACAGCTACACTCGTTTCGGGCCTGACATACCTTCTCCTGCGCAACCCGGACTGCATGGCGAAGCTCAACCATGAGATCCGTAGCGCTTTCGCTAGCGATGCCGACATGACCATGGAGCAGCTCGCTGCATTGCCCTACCTATCGGCTTGCATCAAGGAAGCGTTCCGTATCTACCCGCCGGTTCCTCTTGGACTCCCACGCCTTACACCACAAGACGGCAGTACTGTTGTCGGCCAATACGTACCACCCGGCACCATCATCATGATCCCGCAACACGCCATGTACCTGTCGGACAAGAACTTCAAGAGGCCAATGGAATTCCTTCCTCAGAGATGGATGGGTGATCCCGAGTTTGATGGTGATGAGAGGCAGTGTGTTCAGCCTTTCTCTATTGGATCGAGGGATTGTGTTGGCAAGAAGTAAGTTTACAATTCTCTCGCTTATGCAGACCACAGCAAGCTAACAATAAGCTTAGTATGGCATACCACGAGATACGCCTCCTTGCTTCCAAGGTCTATTACAACTTCGATATCGAACTCTGCCCCGAGAGCAGTGATTGGAGTAACCAGAAAACATTTATTCTTTGGGAGAAGCACCCTTTGATGTGCAAGTTGAAGGCTGTCAACTAGGAGATGCTGTAGTAAGATTATGATACGAACCAATGAAATGATGAAGCATGTAATACAATACTTTGTATCAAGTTCCGTGCGCACTTGTCTCGAATTCGCCAAGTCGGTCTGCAGCCCACAGTAAGTCTTTGCCATGTCATGAGCTACCAACACTAGGAGCATCTTCAATTCCCCCTCCTAGATACCAACATCCTCCACACGCAACAACCCCGACGCCATACCCGCAACAGCCCACGTCCCAAACTTCAGATTCGGATTCCAAGCCAGCGCCGTAACGGCAGTCAGCTCTTCGAAGATACTAATCGACCTTCCCACCTCCGGATTACCCCTCTTAGTCGCATTCGCAGATGTACTGTGCGCAATGCCTGTTTGACCAGCCTTGTAGCCTTCGGTGATGCGGACCAGGGGTTGCGAGAGTACTTCTTGCGGCACCTTCTTGGTTCCATCAGCTGGTTCTCCGGCTTGCAGCTCGTGTTCGTCATCATCGTTGGGTTGCTCGGCTGGCTCATCTTCGGTCATGGTGACATCTCCACCAGTCGTAGACTTGACAAGCTGTCGATTCATCGGTCCTCGCCACTCGTGGACAAACCATTTTTGCTGCCATGGCATGATCTTGTAGTTTGTGATGCGCATGATTGGGTTGCTGGCTTGGATGTCTCCGTCAACTCCGCCGATGAGAACGCCAGGGTGGACCGGGCTTGTGGCGACGCGTGTGATGCTATTTTCTAATCGCATGCTGTAGAGGTTGTGGTAATAGCGACGAATGGGGGTGTGTCGCAGGATGTAGTGTTCGTCAGGCATGACGAAGGACTGTGTATGCTCGTGCCATGCCTGCGTTAAGCAAAGTGTGCGACCTCGTATCGAAGCAGTGGTGTCGGCGTTCGGGCTTCGTAGGTCGAAGAGGCGCGCGAAACCGTCTGCGGTGCTGATAGACAGGAATTGGGGGTTAGACGGCCATCCGGAGGATACTGTGAGAATGTATGTGTCTGCCAATTGCTGATAGAACCAGGGTCTGGGGTTGTGATGTGTGGCATCGGGTGTTCTCAGTGTGCCTGGGCGGTTGAGGGACCAGATGCCTACAGTGCCTGCTGCAGTCGCCACCGCGAGTGTATGTCCCGACAGCCAGTGTAAGCACGAAGGTACTGTTTGAGGAAACGAAACTTCGAACGCAGCGTGTGAAACATGAAGATACGTATGAGTGTGAGCATCGGCTTTGGGAGGTGCAGATATATCCAAGACACGCACTCGTCCATCGGACCAGATACCCGCAAGCATACCTATATGCCTGTTACTTGCGTCGTCCGTCTCTTCAGTCGTGTCTGTAGCGGCTACCGGGCACCATCTGAGATGTTTTGGCGCACCCCAGTCTGTGCAGATGACTAGCTCTAGTTGCGGCTCTTTTGATGGATCCAAATCGCCTACATCATCAGCTTCGAACGACCATATCTGAATAGACGCAGGGAATGGCTCAGTAGGATTGAATGCAGGTGCTTTTGGCTGCTCCAGTGGCTTGGGCTGGTCGCCGCTGGTGGGTCTCTGCTCGATGGCAACAGCAAGATATTGGGTGCTGGATTCCTCGTTTGTCGCCCATTGAGCGTCTTGCACCCAAGAGCCAAGGTTGAACAACCAACCGCGTCGCTCTTCATCGCCCGGAAAGGGTTTTGCGATGCTCATGTATGAGCCTTTTGCCAGCGTGTTGACTTGGGGAGTGTTTACCGGACCAGCCAGTACGTTCATGGTATCCGATCCTGGGGTTACCATGTACTGTTCCGCCTCGTCCGCGGTCAATTTATTCGTCGTCTGCGCTTTTGCAAAAGCATGGCTTCCGGAATTGGCATACCACGTCCTCAAGACTTCATTCTCTTTCTCCCTCGCGCCTTCGGCCTCGAAGAAGCTCCTTCTCAAGCTACCAACCTCAGCATCATCAGGTTTATTCTTCTTATAACTCCGGATAGGGAACGTTTCTTGTGGGAACCAATAGTCCCTCGATTCGAGTACTGGTCTCAGATGGTGTACATCTGGACCAAACAGGTTCTTCAGCCGCGGCTCATGACCACCGATCTTGTCGAAATCAGGGATACCTCGCGTTCGTAATTGGGTGTCCGTATCGACAACCCGTACTTTGATGCCACCTCCTTTCTTGAATATGACTGGTGACGGTATGTTGTCTGCCATGTCCTTGTAGCGGGGATCATTGTACCGTCGTTTCGGAATAACGTCTGGGGTAGTAGGCACGGCTTGAGGTACTCGCGCATTTCGTGCATCGCGTGCATTGCGTTTTGGAGTTGGTGCAGGACTTTCGTCGGAATTGGCCTGCTCTTCCGCAGAGTCATCTTCCTCCTCTACCACTTCGTCTTCTTCTTCTTCATATTCGACCTCCTCCTCCTGGGCATCCGGCATGAAGTCATCACCGTCGTCATCATCGCCGTTTTGGAGGGATGGTGTCTGTTTGCCGGAGGGCACAGTGCCATCCTCGTCTTCATCGAGAAACGAGTATTCATCCTCGACGCGATAGGATTTGCGCGGCTTGCCTCGCGACTGCCGAGGTGATGAGTGCTCTGATGCGAGCGTTAGTGGTGTCCACCCTCGTCGAAGATGCAGGTAAAATCGCCAAATGCAGCACTAGCTCCAAGCGGCCTTCGTCATATATGGCTTCGGCCATCTGAGATATCGATGGACTCACACTGAAGCTGGAGTATCGCGTTTTTTCAACGCGTAGCTGGGCCTGTAGAGTACTTCAAATCACATACCTATGGACATTTCGAGCACTCAGGTGTGTTGGTTGTGACTGCCCAGGTGATTGGGTGAAGAAAGAGCAACTCGGATGCGACCAGGAAATCCAGCCCCACCATTAGCGGAGGGCACAGACCCTTTGACCCCGCCATCGCATCCAAATTTTGCTGTCAGAACTATGATTCACATGCTTGTGGGAGACGTGACTGCGGGCTGGATGCTGGTCGCATACACTCAGCGCACTACATTTATATACCTTGTTTTTGGTCGTTTCTCCATCAAAACGAATCACTTCGGGTAAGCAGCTTTCCAAGCCACTCTCCCAATCACCGTACTAACAGCCCTATCGTGGTATGGTCTAGTGGTATGACGTCGCGTTGTGGCTGGCGGACACCTAGTGTCCCGATCCAGATCCGCGCCAGCCTGGGTTCGAGTACGTTCAATCCCTCATTGGTGGTCCTGAGACATTTCTAACATGTCTACAGTTCCCAGTACCGCCAATTAATTGCGACAATCTTTTTTTGCCCTCTCTCTCACCATGGCTATGTGAAATTGGGTTACGCACACTCTTTTTTGCCCTTGTGTGCGGGTGTACTATAGAGAATGTGCTACGCAAGTGCTACGATAGAGATGCGCGCGGCTCCTCTTTCAAATATCGTTGTCTTTTCGTGATAATAAGAAGGGAAATGTCAGAGACGCCGATGCACGCTTACAAGATATCTCCAGCCACTACATAAGTTTGTACAAGTCTGTACAACTACGAAAACACATGCGTGATTTGACGAGATTGATGCATGTGTGTGCGAGTAGCAATCGGCCAAGACCTGCGGAAAGCGAGAACGCCAACGATAGAGTAGGGCGGGCAATAAGGTACCGCAGTAGGTGTATATGAAATGTCGAAGCGATGGTGGGTTTACACAATAGAGTGACGACATATAACACAACGTCTATCTTCTCTCGGTAGCGCGCCACATGTTGGTCAGATTTGATGAGGGGAAACCCAGAGGTATCATGTAGTATTTCCGCGAGCGATGGTCTCATATAAATGCAGTGCGAAGACGGAGTTCGACTTTATATCTCATATGGTATTCTCTTCTATCCAAGGGGTATCTAATAACGCCGTGACGCTAACAAGGTGAATTCCGTTGCATCTACTTACCCACTCTTTCCAGTCGGATTTACTCAGCGCGCAATCTCGCTCCGAAGTGAAAGCACAATCCGACAGCCAAGTCTCAGTCCGTAGAAGAGGCACCAGCCGAGCGGTCTCCAGACGTATCTGAAGACGATTCTGACATACGATTAGTACGACTTCGTCTGGTATATCACTGAACCGACTTACCAGCAGCGTCTTCCGATGAGTTACCAGTATTCTCGTTGTCGTCTACAAACGCGTCACCGTCTACACAGCGTCAGCCATAATCGTGCGAGAAGGATACATCAGACCCACGGTGAACTTGAAGCGCGTTGTAAGCATCAGTTGCTGCCCCCGAACCCGTCGCAAGTGCATTCTCGTGCGCGACAATGTCCTGCATCTGAGCTACGATACCCGCAGCAGGGGGCATAGATGGGTTGCCAATGGGGCCGGGAGGGATCTGAGACTCGGGGATAACCTCGTAGGTCTCCCCGTCGAGGATCGTATACGACAGTCGAGCATATTCACGCGCTTCCTCGACGCGGGTACGACGGTATCGAGGGAAGAGGCCAACGCCGTCGACGACGTAGTTCTTGGTGATACCAGGCGGTTGGAACATGATACCTGCCCAAGCAGCCTTCTGGGGAGTGCTTCCGTCTCCTGAGAGAGGGATCTTGAGGTTGGGGTAGGAAGAGGATCCATGACTAGTGCCCTTGTTGTTGGAGTTGCCGCCGGGAGGGGGAGGAGATGATCCGGCAGCGGCGGACATTTTGTCTTCGGTTGGAGAATTGGAAAGTAAGATATATAGGTTCTATGATACAGTCAGTAAGGCGAACAAAGGCCATCGTCTTCAAGAGAACTTACTAGGAATTGAAGTGTATAAGAATGATATCTCTTCTTGTAGCAGTGGTGTATAGAAAGGAGGAACCATAAACCCGCTCGAAGCCACCTACTTATACAACCAAGGCGGTTCTCCTCAGCGGTCACCTTGACCTTTACTCGGAGTCCAGGTGACCTTCGATCATCGTCCCTCACCGCGAAAGTGAGAGCGCATTCGCCGCAGTGAAGGAGCGCATTGTCGACGGGGTGGTCAGGGGCCACTGCAGCCTTGATATTTGATAGAGACAGCGTGGAAAAGGCGGGGTTATATGCCTGAAATGGGGCCTCGAGCTTGCTACTCGTAGTCGTGTGTTGTGGACGCAAGCCTTGAGTTTGCTGAGTGACGGACAAATCAACACGAGGTGCTTCCAAATTGGGCAATCGCTATCGCAAACTGCAAGAGGCTACGGCTGATCGAGGAAGGCGCGATACCCGAGTGGAAGGTGAAGGACGCGGCGAAAAGCAGGAGCGTCATGTCACAATGTATCGTATACATCAACTTCAGCGTATGTGCCTTCCCTAGATTCCAGGTCATTCACCAATTGTACCCAGCGGATGCGCATAGACTCGGTCACTCATTCTGGACCAAAACCTTGGTCTTCATGTGTTGTGTGTAGCCATATGTCATTGGTATCTAAAAGAAAGACCTTCTCACTCCAATGCTCCAGCCGTGATGGGAGATACATCAAGACTGCAGTCCATCATACCCCACGCCGATCAACAACTCCAGTCTAGGAAGTAGCAACGGCAGGCTCAGAAGCAGAAGCAGTACCAGTACCAAACATTCCATCATTCGCAAAGAAATTTGGACCTAGTCGCGAACTATCAGTATGTGCATGCAATGTAGTAAGAAAAGTAACTTACCAAAGATGCCCTCTGCAGTTAAATCTGGGAGATCGGGAAGCCGTTTCTTAAAGTACTTGAAGTCAACGTCTTTGCTACGTGATTAGCAAGTCTGCAAGACGCTCATTAATTTCACAGTCTTACCATAGTAGATCGTATCATTAGAGGCCGCCTCCGCCAAAGCGGTCCTCACACTGGTAAACTCCCACGTCGGATCGTTCAGGCGCAACAGAGTGTTCTCAGCTGGATCCCTGGAATACACGTGCAGCGTCTGAGTGACGATGCGACCGTCTTGCAAGAACACGCGGAGTCCCTTGCTGTTGAGGATGGCAAACGCTTTCGTAATGTATGAAGCCACGCACGCTTGAGTAGTCTGTATGATTTCATTGTGGCCCCCATCCAGAGCATAGTGTTTCTCGGAGACCAGGTCGCGTTGAGCCGCGTGGTCAAGCAGTGGGTTCTCGAAAGAATCACCTGCTCTGTTGTCAGGAGCGCCGGGTAGAGACATTTGTGTTTGTCTTTGGACTTGGCGGGTGAGTATGTATGCCTTGGTGAGCAGTAACGCTCCCAGAACAGAGAAAAGGACATCGCTATATACGGCTGTGGCTTGCTCACGTTTGCTGCCCAGCCGATATATCACAATCGCATATGGTAAAAAAATGTGCAAGCGCAATGTCAGAACCAGTGGGAAAACCAATCTGAGATGCAGAAAATTACAAGTAATAACAGATACGACGTCGAGTCAAGGAAGGAGACACTCGCAGAAGACGTTGGTTCATGTTTACGACTGTTACGCTTCCGATCCTAACGTCCGTTTCGTATGTCCGTGATACTTCTAACTCGAGAGGACATTGTTGAATGGAGATGAAATGGATTCTGAAAGTTTTGAGTCGCTCGTCGGCGACGCCTGGTCGCAACACACTACCATACCATCGTCAACATAGGCCCAGCCCAAACCCAGCGATGGTGCAGAACATCCAGTAAATATGATATATATACAGCCCTATATGATGGGTATCTAGAAACAGACAGACTCCGGCTCCTTCGTTGCAACCCCGCCATAATGACTCCGCAAGACACTGCAGATCTATAGTAGTACACAATCGAAGTCAAGCCCCCTGGTACGCCCCGTTGAACTAAGTTCATAAAGACAAAAAGCCTACTTCTTCTCACCATCAACATCCATCGCATCCTCATCCTTCTTAGCACCAACATGGATAACATCGCCATCCTCCTTCCTCGACATAACGTGAATAACATCGCCATCATCATCCGCGCCATCATCTCCAGCAGCCGTCTCATTCCTTTTTCCTTCGGGACTAACTCGATTAGCCGCCAGATTAGGAAAGAGAGGCTTTCCTGCAATAGATACCGATCTACGCAGATTATCGTTCTGAACTTCCTGATGAATCTCTTCCACCTCTTCTTCGTCTAGCTCGCTAAGCTCGCTCTCGTCGTCTGCGTCGTCGTGGATGGAAGCGGGTGCGCTGCGTTCGGGCTCGTCGTTGTTGATACTGGCAGATGCGGTCGCTGTACCGCTCTTGTCGAAGGACGGGTGTAGATGTTCGGTGGATGTGCCTGGTCCAGGTGCTGGTTGCGCGACGGCTTCGGGTGAGGCGGCTTGTCCGACGATGGAGGGAAGCGCTGCTTCGCTGGGTGGAGGCGATCGAATAGGCATTGATGTTGGCTGCGTAGCTGTACCTGCGATCTTTTGTACACATGCTTCGGCTCGACGAGCGATCTCCCTACGACCCACTGCCTTGGCTCTTGGTTTTGCGGGTTGCTCAGGCTGCGAGGGCATTTGCGGCATTGACGGTGGGTGCTGCGGCTGAAGCTGGTTGGGATGATACATGTTAAATGGCGTACCGGAACTTCCGTCAGCAGGCCCATCGACCTGAACCTGCATCAATGAGGAGATAGGTACAGCACCTGCAGCTGTTGCGGTTATACCGAAAGGCGATGGTCGAGGCGGTGCAGGCTGCAAGGGCTGCTGTGGTTGTTGCTCCGATTGCAAAGGCGGTAGCGAAGGCCCAATTGAAGTGTACAGCATTGCGTATGCATCGCCAATCAGGTCGTCGATGAGAAGAGGCTTCATCATGCCGTTGTTCAGACGCTTGAGTTCAATGGCATCACGGAGAACATCCAGCACGGGATGTTGAGTCTCTGGGTTCTGACACCACGCTTCCAACCGAAGAGCCAGCGTGTTGAACTCATCGTGGTTGACAGACTTGAAAGCAGAATCTTCTTGGCCCTCAAGTACGTTGCCAATCTTTCGCAGCATCTTGATGTAGCGCAGACATAAGTCTTGCCACAGCTTCTGGTGCTCAAAGAAGTCGGTCTGCTTGCGTCGTACACGCTTAGCAAGAGCTTCGAAGTTGGTTTTGTCGCCAGTGAGATCCAGAAGTTCAATGAAGAACTTGGTATAGCGTGTAGTGTAGACAAAATGTCGGCCGGGCCGCTCATTCTCAGGTTTCCAGACCTGAACAGCCATGGTCTTGGTAAACATTTGCTGCGTAAGCTCATGTTTAGCCTCATTGGCCGATACTGGATCTCTGCCGTTGTCATAGAGAGTATGGGCCACACGAGATATGATGCGATGGTGCCAACTTGACTTGTCGGCCGCTCGCAATGCTTTCAATACCGCGAGTACGTATCGCTGCCAGTCACCGTTGTTCTCCGGAGCTTTGACGTTCTGCGCGTAGGAAGTGTTCGCGAGGATTTCCGCCCCTTTCTCGTGGTCGATGGCTCCCCGCAGGAATAGTTTGTGTGTAATGGAAACAAGCTTGTAATGCGGCTCAAGGACTGGCTCGCCGCTACGTCCCTTCTTTCCTGGGAGTGTTTCGATGGCGCTGATGAATGCGTCCACAACTGACTCCCAGGAAGGACCGCGCGGAAGGGGTAGTGGTGCACCTATTGACTTGGCATATTGCGTCGCACCATCATTTGCCGCCCACATCTTCCAACCACACTTTCCAAGCATGAAGTGATTCCACCACTTGTTCGGATTGCCTTTGATGGCTCTCTTGTAGAGAGTGCTTGCGAATTTCCAAGCAGTGTAGGCATGCAACGGGGCAAATACGACTTCTTTGTATAGAGAGGCGTTCGTTTGTAGGTTGCAAAATCGTTTTTCACTTTCCCGTATCTGGAATGCTTCCATACCGAATGGTTCCCTGGATGAGGCGTACATGCGGTTTCCAAACTCGGTGTACATCTGTGCAATCTTGGTTTGATCGATCGGCGTGATGTTAGCATCGCGGGTAGCGCAGGCTACAGCCATAATGTAGCAATTGATTGCAGCACGCTGGAAATTAACCACCTCGGCACTATTGCTGTTCATCTTGTCTGCGTTCCAAGATACAGCTTCTTCGAGCTGCGTGTCGTTGGCTTGGGCAAGCCGATACCAGGTCTCCCACCGTTCAATGGAGTGCTCCAGGTCCTGCACAAAGAATGCCTGGGCGTAGTTAAGGTCTTCTGTCGGTCCCTGAGTCATACGTTTCTGCGATCGGAATTTGCTCAGCGCGATGTTTCCCATCATGTAGTACCAGCCCTTCGATGCAGCCACAGCTTCGTCAGCAGGAATGTGTTTCGTGGCGAGCGAACCAACGCCTTTCAGACACCCAAACAGTGCCACTGGATTGACGGGCGATTTGAAGTAAGTGGAAATGACTTTGCGGTTAAAGGTGATATCCTCGTTCTGTTTAGGCCGACCAAGAGCAGCATGTACTTTCTCGATGGTACCTTTGAGCTCGGTCTTAGGTAGGTCCTTGAGATCGACCTTAGCAGCTTGCGACATTGCGAAAGGTAAGATGCTGAAGGCAGTCTTCTTATCAAGGACATCTGGCGTAGTTTGAAAGCTCTGACAGTCCAGAGGCTCGACGAAAAGCTTCAATCCATACATATCGTGGAGTACCTGGCAGAGCTCGGTGGCGTGGCTGGGACCATCAACGATATCATCCATGCGAAGTAGCTCGTCCTTCGCAAGCCTCAAGAACTGACGGTTAGAAAGGTGACAGAAGCCACGTACACCAGTCGCATGATGCACATGGC